TTTCGCTCAGGGTCCGTCAAAGGGTGTTTATACTAGCGAATACATCTTTTCTATTAACATCCATTTTGCTATAGATTAATGTTGTTAACGGTGTCAGTGCCCACTCTAATTCATTTGATTATTGTAGCTAGATTGTCTAGTACAAACTAATAAGAAATACTTTTTATAATAAGAAATATTTTTACTGGTGGTAGGACCTCTTGTGAGTCCGCGCGGGTAGGTACCACCACCCTGCCTATTTCTGCCGTGAAGCAGTAAAGCGTTTCAGTTTGAAGGGTGAGGCAGCCGTTGTAACTATACTGAGACCTTAGAACTTATATCTCAAGGTGCGTGGCGCATTTACGTTGTAGATGTCTATGGGCTCCAGTAACCACTTAACACCAGGTGGGCTGTGAGCTCGTCTACCCAGCTAAGCAATAAAAAAAAAAAAAGATGTCTATGGGCTCCAGTAACTACTTAACTCCAGGCTGTGAGCTCGTCCACTCNTGATCGCGCGTTTCTCTCATTATTGTATTTTCATATATTTGTTAGTCGTTTGTTTTGTGTCTCGTTAATTTGTTAATAATCTGTAGTGTATCGTGTTGTCGTAATATAGAACTATTTCTCGTATTGTTTCGTTTAATTTTTTATATCCAGTAAACTCCAGTCGTGCGTCGGAGCGGACACACACACTTTTTTTTTATGATTTAACGCAACTAAATCTTCGGGTAAAAGGTAATTTAATTTTAAAGACATTAGGTTCCAAATACCTACTGCTTTCGTTATCTATTGGAGATGTTAAAAAAGCACATTTATTAAATGTTTATATATTTGACTTACACCCTGAACATGACGTTAGAGATATTAAATAAAGGAAAGAGTATCCAAACAAAAGAAGATGAGCTGTGAGCTCATCCGCACATCTTCAGAGTTTCGCTCAGGGTCCGTCAAAGGGTGTTTATACTAGTGAATACATATTTTCTATTTACATCCATTTTGCTATAGATTAATGTTGCTAACGGTGTCAGTGCCCACTCTAATTCATTTGATTATTGATTTGATTATTTAATAGCTAGATTGTCTAGTACAAGCTAATAAGAAATACTTTTTATAATAAGAAATATTTTTACTGGTGGTAGGACCTCTTGTGAGTCCGCGCGGGTAGGTACCACCGCCCCGCCTATTTCAGCCGTGAAGCAGAATTGCGTTTCGGTTTGAAGGGTGGGGCAGCCGTTGTAACTATACTGAGACCTTAGAACTTATATCTCAAGGTGCGTGGCGCATTTACGTTGTAGATGTCTATGGGCTTTAGTAACCATTTAACACCAGGCTGTGAGCTCGTCCACTCATCTAAGCAATAAAAAATAATAATAAGAAATAGGTACACTTACCATTTTCCCAAACACCACAGTCCCACTTTCCTAGTTGCTTTGTGTGTTGTTGAGTGAGTGCCAGACATCAAAGCAGTGCGGGACTTGTGGCTGACAAAACGCTTAATACATCACACGTTACGTGTCTTGAGAGACACATACGTTATGGCCAGACAAGACGACGCAGCGTGTGAAAAGTTTTTTTGTTTTCACATGACTTTACAAATTTGTAGTTTTTGAGTTTTTAATACGCTTTTATTAGCTTCAGACGTATGTAGTATGTTAGTATGTAACGGAATCTTTGAACATGATTTTGACCCCCTTCAAAGCATTGGATTAACTCGAAATTTGGTATACTTATTAAGGACCGATGATAATTCAATATTAAAAAAAAATATTGAAAAAATTGAAATGAAACTAAAAAATGAAAAATAAATATTAGTTTAAAAAAACTAACAAAATACGATTTTATAGAAATTCCAACTCAAAAACAGAAAATAAAGATTAATAAATTTGAATTAAAAATAGTGTAAGAAAAATTATTTTATTGTAAAAAAAGGTATTCGTTGGGCTATCAATGTATTGTGCGTTGCGCTTTTAGATTTGCCGAAGTTCATAATCCACGTGGGTAATTTACATCTTCAAACTTTTTCGTAACTAATACCAGACTATCGGTCATATTTTCATTGTGATACTTTATGAAAATAGCTTAATTTACGAATTCTCAGCTACAACTTCAAGCTTTAAGCTTATCTCATTTGAATTAAAATATCAAACGTTGAGAAAATAATAAGTTACGTAGAGAAATGCACCGCGTTGTGAAAAAACACATTTTTACAACGTTTGTAAAGAATGTTGTCTCAAATTTATTAGTCTACTAGCTGACCCGGCAGACTTCGTAGTGCCTCAATCGATAAATAAAAGAACGATGGGGGACACATCAAAAGAAAAACAAAATTGTTATTTTTATTTAATTCCGAGCATTTTCATATTTGTCTACCTTTTAAATCTTCTCTGGACTTCCACAAATAATTCAAGACCAAAATTAGCCAAATCGGTCCAGCCGTTCTCGAGTTTTAGCGAGACTAACGAACAGCATATTCATTTTTATATATAGAGATAGATAAGCTGAACACATTTTCCGATTCTTTCAGACATTCGTTCATTGACCCTTAAGTGCGACCCCTCTCATCCAAATAACCTCAAAAAGAACCAACCTAGTAACCGGGTTAGTTTATTGCCATTCGGTTGCAGTTGGCTTCCGTGGCCGTCGTATTTCACCCGGAGGCGCGCCGGCGTGCCGGGGACCGAGCCAAACCACACGCTCTGATCTACGTAATAGCGGTAATGAAGCTATGTTGTGCGAAAATACGTGTTTTGTATCTATTTTATGTATCTATGTCCCGGTCATCGTTCTCGTCAAACCTGACGCTTGCGATGAATGGCTTGGCGATTAATTAACCCACATCCCACTGAGTTTCTCGCCGGATCTTCTCAGCGAGTTGCGCTTCCGATCCGGTGGTAGATTCTGCATTAGATTAGCACTGCTCTTCCTAGGGTTAGTGTTAGCAACGTCGTCAGGTTTGAGCCTCGTTAGCTCACCTACATTTTAGGTTACGCTGACATAGCCTCTCAAGGCTATCAGGTAGAACGGAAAAAAATGTATCTTTTTTTTTTTTTAATGCTTAGATGGGTGGACGAGCTCACAGCCCACCTGGTGTTAAGTGGTTACTGAAGCCCATAGGCATCTACAACGTAAATGCGCCACCCACCTCGAGATATAAGTTCTAAGATCTCAGTATAGTTACAACGACTACCCCACCCTTCGAACCGAAACGCATTACTGCTTCACGGCGGAAATAGGCGGGGTGGTGGTACCTACCCGTGCGGACTCCCAAGAGGTCCTACCACCAGTATCTACGCTAAAAGAATCTAATCTCAGCCTCATCTCAATATCTGGTGGTTTTGTTCTTCGGTGTGGTCTGGAATAGCATTGCCCCATCTCTTCCCGTTCCCTGTCGTGAGAGGCGACAAAGGAAATTGATCAATTCTGACAGCATTTAAAATCACGTAGGCTGTAAGCTCATTTACTCATCTATGTGCCTACTGAAAATAAATTAAAAAGAAACATCATCTCAAACAAACATTCAAGTTAGTCAAGAATAAAATGTTCTCTTAAGAACACATCCATACAATTGAAATTGTATTATCTCAACGAAGCATGTAAAGCAATTTGTGTTCATAATGAGTTGACTAACTCTCTTTGTGAACATCAGATGTCTTCGGGGATAAGTGCTCGGAAGTAATTACGTATGGGGCCGCGAAAGAAAATCCTGGTCTCTTCGGGGGCTCCACAAAGTAAAGGATTGAAAAAGAAGGTAATTTTGGGTTGGCTCACATAAATGTGTGCGACGCTAATACATTACAATCTCCGTGTATACACATCTCAATGAAAGTATGTGCTTAGGTAACTCCAAGTCATCCGTTTATTCCATTATTCGCTTCGTTTTTGCATGATGATATATTTGTTCGAGCATCAAAGCAAAACCTACTGGACCGAATTTGATTTAATTTGAAAACTTTATGGGCTTCATGGTTTGTGATGATAATACATATTATATAAATATGTTACTTATTTCTATTTATCGACACAATAAAACAATGTATTTCATTTAAACAGTATACATACATATACAATGTTTTCTATAACCTAGCTAGCCTATTTCTGCCGTAAAACAGTAATGCGTTTCAGTTTGAAGGATGGGGCAGCCGTGGTAACTATACTGAGACCTTAGAACTTATATCTTAAGGTGGGGGGCGGCATTTGCGTTGTAGATGTCTATGGGCTCCGGGAACCACTTGACACCAGGTAGGCTGTGAGCTCGTCTACCTTATCATGTCCTGGATTGATCTACACTACTTGGTACCAGCCATTCCGCTCATTTCAGTAGCACCATCATTACATGTAATTAACGTATGTGATATAAAAGTTGTGATAAATATCAAGTACCATAATTTTCATGAATTATCTATATTTTTTATATGCATAGTATTTTACGTATTTCATAATGCTTCAAAAAATGCAACGTAAGATGTTATATTCACATTTGTGAAAGTTAATCGCGCTTCATTTTCATCCGCCAAAATTTACTGAGTATCGCAATTACAGAATATTATACAGATAGCAAGCAGCCATTCAATTGAGTTATTTCGAAACTAATTCTATGCGATTACATGATGATTTATAACACTAATAATAACACACTAATAATAATTGAATTTGTTTAGTATTCTAAATACTGAAAAAAAATGTTGTAAACTCTCTGTGTTACGATTTACATTAGTTCGGAAAAAAGCAACTGAAGGCACTGAATTTATTTTTATGCTATGAATAATTTGTGGACTGCCGTGAGGCAGTAATGCGTTTCGGTTTGAAGGGTTGGGCAGCCGTTCTAATATAAAGAATGAGAACTTAGAATTCATACCTCAAGGTAGGTGGCGGAATTGTAGATGTCTATGGGCTCCGGTAACCACTTAAAATCAGGTGGGCCGTGAGTTCGTCTACTCATTATGTGAGCATTAAAAAAACTTTTATAACACTTATTTTTTTTAATAAGCTGAAATTGTGATACGCGTTCTTTTTTGTTGCAGACTAAACTACAAGCTATGCGGTCGCTCACCGTGGTGGTGGCACGCTTGCAACATCGCCCTGCACGCCACGTGTTGCATGCTGGTTGCTCGCGCGGGCGCTGTCGTGGCAAAGTTGCAACGTCCGTTCGCAGCACTAGCGGCCTTGCTGTTCGCTGTCCATCCTGTGCACACTGAAGCAGTGAGTGACATATGAAATTTATAAGACACGTTATTTTGATGGTCAAAAATTATATTAATATCGTTACCTACGTTAGGCAGTAGAGCCATCAGCCCACTAGATTGTATGTAGATATTAACTGCAGCGTTGTTGATATCCCGATGCATTTTTTTTTGCCTACATAGCTGATAGCCTTGAGAGGCTATTTCAGCGTAACTTTAACTAGTAGGTGAGCTCACGGGGCTCAAGCCGGAGTGATGCTAACACTGACTCTACCAAGAGCAGTGCTTCACAGAATCTACCACCGGATCGGAAACGCGACTGAGAAGATCCGGCGAGAAACTCAGTGGGGTGTATCTATGGGTTGACATATGAATAAGAAACGTTATTGTGATGAGCAAAAACGATACGCACGTTAGGCAGTAAAGCCATCAACCTACTCGATTTTATGTGGTTATTAGCTGCAGCGTTGTTGGTATCCCGATGCAATGCCAAAGGTTGCGACTATTAATTACAGAGCGGTATTTTTAAATCTATTTTGATAGCACTCGAGCAGAATCGTCGAATATGAAGTCGTCGTAGCCTAAAGGATAAGACGTCCGGTGCATTCGTGTTGAGCGATGCACCGGTGTTCGAATCCCCGGCGGGTACCAATTTTTCTAATGAATTACGTACTCAACAAAATAAATTTTCACGATTGACTTCCGCGGTGAAGGAATAACATCGTGTAATAAAAAGGTAACCCACAAAATTATAATTTGGGTAATTACTGGTGGTAGCACCTCTTGTGAGTCCGCGCGGGTAAGTATCACCGCCCTGCCTATTTCTGCCGTGAAGCAGTAATGCGTTTCGGTTTGAAGGGTGGGGCGGCCGTTGTAACTATAGTGAGATCTTAGAACTTATAACTCAAGGTGGGTGGCGCATTTACGTTGTAGATGTCCATGGGCTCCAGTAACCACTTAACACCAGGTGAGCTGTGAGCTCGTTCATCCACCAAAAAAAAAAAGAATCGTAAGGAGTTATTTCCAAAGCCATTCAGATTAGAGTATCCTTTGCGCCCGAAGTAGGTAGATGTGTAAGCATGTGGTGGTGTGTGCGGGCCGCATAATACGCCATTCCATCACATTTACCGAGTAATCTTATAACTCTCAATTTTCACGGAAAGTTGGAGCTATAAACCAACTAACGACCCTTAAAATGTAGATTTCACGACCCCACGACACGTGTTGACCTCGGATTTCATTCATAATGCTGCAATATTTCCTTGTGACGTTACTTAGGGCTCAGCAACGCTCCGAATGAATTATTCAATACGAGTCGGGTTGTGCGCTGCTATAAATACTGTTTCATTTCCACAGGTAGGTATTGTACTTAGGGGATCGTAGGCAATCTAAGGGAAGAACATAACCCATGTATTGCAAAATGAGCTCTCGTACAGATATTGTAAATAATTACTTCTGTGCTATTTAGGTTTGAAAGTGACTCTAAAATCTCAAATTCATTTTTATTCGTCTATACGAAGTTGAAGAAATACTATCACCATAGATCAACAGATATTAGGCCGCTACCAAGCCTTATGGACAGCACAACGCATGGCTCCCACTTTGAGACAAGCAAAATTCTCAAATATGTAATACTGATCAAATATGTAAAGGCTGTAATTATTTAGAATCAGAAGCAAGATGACTTAGTCGGTATAAGCGGGCACGTTTTACCAGTCAGTGCAGACGCGTAGGATACTACACAACGAACAATAACGCAATAATATAATTAATAATATAATATAAGTCAGCGTGAATTTAATTAATTATGCTCAATAAAGGAAATGCTATATTGGTGGCGGCATTCACTTTATGATATTTATAAGCTCCGGTAACCGCTTAACATCAGATCAGAGAGCTCGTTCAATGACTTTGATATTCTATGATAATAATATTGTAATAAAATAACGCTTCAACTGCTAGCGTTCCGAGATGATGCATCGATGATATGCGTATCTCTTGTGGTAATTTAACACCAGCCCTTTGGCTCATATGCCTACTTAAGACAGAAATACTCATAAAATTTAAGTAAGAAAGCGCTCATCGTGAATAAGTGTGTGACATTTATGAGGCCGACACACAAACTCATGATCTCTCTGAAATCACAGTGTAATTTTATAAAAAGCGCTGTACGTACTGTCGTTCGTTTGCTCTTTTAAAATAATCAAATCTCTTTAAAGCATCTCGTAAAGTACCCGAGTACGTCCCAAAGTCCCAGAAGACATTTTCCTTTGATTTCGACATTGTATTACCTGGAGTGTCTATCTCGAGGATTAATGTGTAGAACGTGATATATGAGAATGCAGTGTGTGGAACAATTTTATATTACGTCACGATCGTAGAGCTTACGTAGATGGCTACGATATTAGCTACGGCGTAGCTTATATGAATATCATTAAATTTATATTCTAGTGTTCTAATAATTGAGACTGGATTAGATGTGTAAATGGTTTTTTTTTATTGCTTAGATGGGTAGATGAGCTCACTGCCCACCTAGTGTTAAGTGGTTACTGGAGCCCATAGACACCTACAACGTAAACGCCACTCACCATGAGATATAAGTTCTAAGGTCTCAGTATAGTTACAACGGCTGCCCTGCCCTACAAACCGAAACGCATTACTGCTTCCCGGCAGAAATAGGCAGGTTGGTGGTACCTACCCCTGCGGACTCACAAGAGGTTCTACCACCAGATAAATAAACTACTAAACAGTAAATAAACTACTCACTAATATATCATACTAGCCTTATAGGCCAAAATACATTGTCCGAAATGAGAACCAGTATTGATTTAGGCATAGTAAAAGCACATTTTCATAGAAGTTTCATAATATTTGTCCATACTTCAAACCATATCCAATAAATGACGCACTAATAAATAAACAAACGGTCGAATATAAATTTGTTTTAGTTGAACTTACTTGAAGGTTCAATACAAATTTCTTTTCTGTGATTTATTTTAGAATTTTGCATGCGAGTAATTTAAGATTTTATTATATGTTAAAATGTTTTAAAGCACAATAAAGTCTTAGCTGTAGTTAAACAGTTGGCATAATATGATAAGTGAACATTCATCTAATACAGTACATCATTGTAAAAAGCTCAAACACACTGAAAGCTCTCGTAAAAGCAAACAAGCGACGATAACATTTCGCTGTCGTAACAAAAATATTCATACAGATGTCGCGGGTCGTGAACTCTGTGGAGCTTGCAACACGACGACAATTTCCTACGCCGTTTTATTGCGCTTGATACTTTATTTATGGGAATATGTTTAACGTAGTGATGGGAAGAATGTCGTAGAGTCTTTCTTGAAAACTTTGAAAATATTTTCCTTTCCGAAAATCCTCCGACTCACTGAACACGTGTATGTAATAAGCTCCACTATTTCAGTTCAAAAAAATATATAATATAATATAAACCAATATTTAAAAACTGAAATAGTTTATATAATAATAATAATAATAATATTTTATTCAAGCCTCTTAAAAACATAAAATACGTACACGAATTCTTAACATTAGTATAATAACATACATGGCTTTTTTTATGAGGTATACAATAACAATATTCCCTGACTTTTATGCTAGGAAAACCTGTGTTACAAAAGTCAGTGGTTCAGTGCTAGGTCCCCAGGTAAAGTAAGTTAATTGTCACAGAGTAAGATTAAATGAACTTTATGTTGTAGAGTAAATAGTCTACTAATCTAATCTAGTTACAATTAAAAAATAAGAACTCGTCTAACGAACGCATAGAGTCCCACTTCACCTTGTCCAAATGCTATAACTAACTCTCATAGTCGAGGTATTACCAATCTTTTGTTGCTCTGCTTTAAGCCGCCACCAAATCTTTTATCAACAATCTCTTTGAATATCATTGTGAAAATAAAAAACCCAATAATTTTCTCACATCTAAAAGCTATTTTCTTAGAAATTGAACTATCTCGTTTCCAAAATGTACTGTAGTTATTTAGTTACAGCTTTATCGGGGTTAATTAAGATTAATTATCTTCAAAACCTTTACAGCGTTAGCTTTCTATAATAGAAAATGTGTTTAGGGTTCTTAATTAATCTTTCAAATTTAATTTATACTAGCGGAGAATTCTTGTTGTAGCATAACGAAGTTGTAATGTCTGAATTAAAAAGCATTTCAACATTAATTAATTAATTAGTTTTTAGATCATTTAAAAAAACTTATCTTTTAAACTCTTCACGTTAGGTGTCGTCACTATTTATCAGTTGTATTTTGATTATCGCTTATTTACTCGACTTAAAAAGTGGAAAAGAGCTTTGTGAGATTGTGGGCATACGCCTGAATAGGATACAATAAACTCTATACGGATGAAATTTAAAATTCAGTGTAGTGTTTCCAGGTTAGTCGGTATTTTCAATGTGGTTACACAAGTAAACATTTTAACATTAGAAAGGTTTTGAATTCGTGTGCACTTTATTAACGAATCATCGGACTCAGTAAGTTACGAGTCAGACTCGACTCTCTACACGCCTCGTGTCTAAAGTAAAGTTTTTACAGCGTTCCTAAGTACATTACGAACAATATTCACACGAATATTCTTAGAGTGAGCAAACTGTAATTTTAGTGAATTGTTTAGGTATTTCACGAGAAGTGCTGCCAAATATTCTGTCGTTGTGTATTTTCAGTATGTTTCAGCATAAGTTAGTATCATTGTTGTAAGTTTAATATAAAAATTGTTGATCAGACTTTATTAACATGTATGTATGTGAACAGATTTCAATTAAAATAGTGCTAAGCGATTGATTCCTTTACACTACGATCTTGAAATGTGAGTCGAAAGTCTCATATTAAGTAACTTTTTTATTTTGTTATTTTTTTTATTGCTTAGATGGGTGGACGAGCTCACAGCCCACGTGGTGTTAAGTGGTTACTGGAACCCATAGACATCTACAACGTAAATCTGCCACCCACCTTGAGATATAAGTTCTTAGATCTCAATTATAGTTACAACGGCTGTCCCACCCTTCAAACCGAAACACATTATTGGTTCACGGCAGAAATAGGCAGGGCGGTGGTACCTACCCGTGCGGACTCACAAGAGGTCCTACCACCAGTAACTGTGCTCACAAAACACCTCATTATCAATATTTGCCAAATTACAATTTTTCGTAGATTGTATTATATTTTTGTTGCATGATGGCATTCTGTCGTTATAGGTGCCGTTAGTAAATATGAGTCACATTTTCACTAAAGAATTCTTGCTAGAGTATTTGAACACTAAAGAGATAGACATATCGATAAGTATACCCCAGTGTCTTATCCAATTCGCCAGTTTTCGAGGTTCGGTCATTAGTTCGAAGATCTTCACTTCTGTAGTGGTAAGAAATACGGTGGTCCTCAGTTTAAAAAGCTACAATACTTCACTACAATGACAAAAAGCAAATATCGAAACCATAAGAAAAATCTTTACGTTTTCTGTCCTACGATCTACATAGCCGTTGTAACATACCTGAGACCTTAAAACTTATGTCTCAAGGTGGGTGGCGCATTTACGTTGTAGATGTCTATGGGCTTCAGTAACCATTTAACACCAGGTGGGCTGTGAGCTCGTCCACGCATCTAAGCAATAAAAAAAGTCAAATTCTTACGATATATTCTAAATACCCCAAACTAAATTCCCGAAAGTCACGACTTTTATTATACTTTCTACTCAACTATAAATAATTGAAACATAAAACTATGAAAAACAAATTCAACCCCAAGCTTTATGCCTCCAATAAAAATATTTTATTATATTTTTTCGTAACGTAAGCGAATCTATAAATGTATTTTATTGTGTTACAGGCCGGCGTGCGTGTGACGTTGCCAAAAATATGGCAACACACGAGGCAATATATCTCTTTGAACGCACATGTTGGCTCGTAACTTAGAGAAACTTTTATTGGGTAGAGTTCAATTAACCTTTTTCACATTTGATCTAATTAAACTAGTAGTAAACATAAAACATACTTTGATAAAAAATAATGCATCGCCGCTGCGAGACAAATGTGAGATTCAAAAGTATTATGATTCTTCAAAACCTTATCAGAATTTCTATTAAAGTGAACTAAATTAGTCCGTTAAAATATTAATACTATAGAAGGATTTCTCTATTATTAATTAAAAATGGTTAGATGACGAAACGTATTGCTTAGGTATTATTTTGCCATCACAGCCCCTATTTTGTCGTGTGATGAAAGATATTAGTGCATTTTCGCATTCATACTGCATTCAATATTAAATATGGCGCCCATCGCTGTTCTCTCTCAAAAGTGGTATTAGTTTTGGTTTGGTGAAAAACCACTATAAAGTGAAAAACCACAGACACTTTTTTCGGCCACGGCTCTGGATTGATTGGAACCCCATCTTTCAGTTAATAGAGATAGAGAATAGGCAAAGAAAGAATGCTTACTTGTCATTTAAAGGCTGAAAAATTAACAGCCCACTTGATGGCTCGTGGTTAAAATCGTTTATAGACAATAGTAGTGCTTACCTATTAATTGAGGACACTTTTCAAATTTGAAGAAGAACACTTATCGTAACACTCGGTAGACATCTTCGAGGAGAATTCATCCAACTGGTAAAAATGCTGCCAGAAACCGCACTGTGAATGAATGCAGCTTTTTTAGATAATAGTAAGATTAGTGGTGGACGATGCAATGATAAATATCATCCTATTTAGGA